AGCTTGAGGATCTGCCACCATTATCATCACCACTATCATCGTCTTCAGTGTCATCAGTGTCTAAGGTATCTTTGGATTCTTTTCCTGTGTTTTTGAGTCTAAACGTTCAAGTTTTTAAATTGTGGCATTCTCGTATGGGTCACCCTCATTCGAGTAGACTTGCGGCTATGTTTCGTCAAAACTTATTTGGCAAGTATCACATGGGACAAACTGATTTTCAGTGTACTAGCTGTGTGGAGGCTAAGACTACGTGTTCTACGTTTCCTTCTAGTCAGATTATCATTACGGAGCCATTTCATTTGATGCACACTGATTTGTGGGTTTCTAGTTCGGCTACGTCTCACCAAGGGTATAAGTACTTTGCTCTTTTTATTGACCATGCCATGCGATACACTTAGGTCTATTTCTTGCGGCTAAAATCTAACCTCTTAGCAATTGCCACTAAATTTCTCACTATAATCAAGACTCCATTTGATAAGCAAGTTCGTGTAGTCCAGTCCGATGACGGAGAAGAGTTTAGTTCCAATCCTCTTCTTGCTCTTTATCGTTCCCTTGGTATCTTACATCAAAACGCGTGTCTTGGTGTCTCTCAACAAAATGGTGTCGTTGAGCGTAAGAATCTTCATGTCCTAGAGGTAACCCGTGCCCTCCTTCGTGCTTCATATGTTCCCTCTACTTTCTGGCATGAAACCCTTCCACTGCCGTTAAACTCATCAATAATCAGATTACTTCCGTGTTAGGTCAGTCTAGTCCCTCTTTTCGAAACCCCCTCTATACTCTCGTTTACGTGTTTTTGGGTGTCTTTGTTTTGTGATTCTTCCCCGGTCTGAACGAACCAAACTCTAGTCTAAAACAACTCGGTGTGTGTTTCTTGGTTATAGTGATATTCATAAGGGCTATATTTGTTATGATCCTCCTCATAATCGTGTTCGTGTTTCTTGTAATGTGGTTTTTCTTGAAAATGTGATGTACTACTCGTCAAGTACCTCTAACTCTCCACCTTTGTTTGACACTTCCATGGGTGTCCCTATCTTCTCTGATTTTGATGATGATGATGATGGTCCTCTGCTCACACCTGGTTCGTCCCCCGGGTCCTCTCCGCCCCACTCTCCTACATCATGTCCTCATCTGAAGATTTGTCCCCACCGAACCCACCTGTTGCGGACTCTCCAGTGGTGCTACCTGTTCGTCGCTCTCTCCGGGCGACTCCCGTCCAGCCACCTGCTCTGTATCATGATTTTGTGTCTTATCAGGTTGACCCTATTCCCGTTCCTACCAAGTTTTCACAAGCTAAGGGAGATCCAAATTGGGAGACGGCAATGCGAGAGGAAGATGATGTTCTTCAAGCAAACAACACATGGGAGCTGGTCCCACGTCCTCCTCCTTCGGTGCGTGTAGTTGGTTCTCGCTGGGTTTATGCTTTGAAGGTTCTTCCTGATGGTTCGATTGAGCGATTTAGAGCTCGGGTTCTGGCTCAAGGGTTTTTACAGGAATTTGGGATTGGTTTTGAAGAAACTTTTGCGCCGGTAGCTAAGTTGGTGTCTGTTCGAACACTTTTGGTTGTTGCTGCACTTCGTGGATGGCCCTTGTATCAGTTGGACGTCAAAAATGCATTCCTGCATGATGATCTAAAGGAAACGATTTATATGGAGCGTCCTCCTGGTTACTCATTGGGTACTTCAGACCAGGTATGTCTACTGCATCGGTCTTTGTATGGGTTAAATCTAGCTCCACGGGCCTGATTCGACAAGTTTCATTCCATGATTACGGATCTTGGTTTTCGTCGGAGTGTGAACGACCATTCTTTGTTCACTCGTTCTACGTCCCCGAGGCTAGTAGTCTTGCTTCTATATGTCGACGATATGATTGTTTCAGGTGATGACAAGGAAGGTATTTAGCTTCTTATTGCCATTTTACATCGCTCGTTTCATCTCAAAGAGTTGGGCTCTCTATCATATTACATAGGATTGGAGGTTACTCATACTTCTCGGGGGGATTCTTCTTCGACAGACTAAGTATATAGATGACCTCTTGGAGTCATCTAAATATGATATGTGTGTCCCTGTTTCTACCACTGTTATTAAAACCGGACTGGTCGGTTGGACCGGGAAAACCCGGACCGTAGCCACCCTTTTGTATTATTATATTTTCTGTTAAAAAATAGGCAAGTGCCTCCCTTTTGTTTATTTCCGTTTCAATTAACAATTAATAAATGAATCAGGCCAACTGAAAAAAAAGGGGAAAACGTGGCCCCTGCCTACAACCAAAACTTTTTCCTTTGAATTTAACTTTTTTATTCTAATTTTTTCCCTTCTTTCTTCTTATTTGAAATCAACCACCGGCTTATGATCGGTTTATAATATCGGACTACCGGTTAATCACCGGTTATTCGATAAACCTTGAACCTCTCGTTAATCCAGATCGAAGTCCGGTTCGGTTTTGACAACACTGGTTTCTACCCCTATGGAGTTGAATTTGAAGTTGGGGAGGGACTCTAGGACTTTACTTTCTGATGGAGGACGCCACTATCGTAGCATTGTCGTCAGTTTAATATACTTGGCATCTACTAGGCCTGACATTGCTTATGTTGTGCATATCGTGAGTTAGTTCATGTCAGCCCCATGGAGTTGTCATATGGATGCGGTTCAACGTATCTTAAGTTATCAATGTGGTACGCGGGAGGTTGGTTTGTTTCTTCCATTGCCTGGGTCCTTGGTTCTACAGGCTTTTTCAGACTCAGATTATGCCGATTGCGTTGGTACGAGACAATCTACTACTGGTTGGTGCATTCGGTTTGGTGGTTCTGTTATATCCTCAAGGTTCAAGAAGCAGGATCAAGTGTCAAAATCATCCACCGAAGCAGAGTATCGCGCTATGTCTGATGTTACGTATGAATAGAGTGGTTGTAGCGACTTCTTGGTGATCTCGGAGTGTAGTGTGTCGTTCCCTTAGAGCTATATGTTGATAACACCAGCGCCATACAGATTGAGGTACATGTTAACTATATTCGTGATCTTGTTCGTGCTGGTATAATCAGATTTTCTATATCACCTCAGAAGATCAGCTTGCAGACTTGTTCACGAAAGCCTTTACTGCCTCACGTCACTCGTACTTTTGCTGGCAAATTGATGATGCGTACCTCTCATCGATTTGGGGGAGGGTGTTAAGTTACTTAATTACGTAATGTAGTTAGGGCTTTAAGCCCATGTACGTGGCGTGTGGCCCATGCATAGAGCACTGGTAGAGATAAGCGAAACCCTTAGAGTTAAGGCTTATGTATTATGTATATATTTGTAGCCTCCAAGATTGTTGAACTCATCTGAATAAGAAATGTTATATGCTTCGGCCGTAGACTAGTCTCGTTCATACTGAACGAGGAGAACACATAAATCTTGTGTCGTTTTCGTTCTGTTTTGTAAACTTTGTTCATGGTGATGGGGTTGAGTAGGTAGTCCCCCACATCTCCACCATAATCGTTTCTCTAGTATTTTTCAAAGTCACCCCGTATCCAATAAGTGCAAGCAGGGGCGGAGCTACAGCAGGCCTCGGGGGGCCCGGGCCCCCCCGAGAATCTCGAAAGTAACATATACGTGGTTTGGGATATTATGTATAACCTAAAGATATTAGTTAGATATAAAGACGTGGATGGTAATCAAATAATTTCATTTAGTGTAGTGGAAGAAGGCTTCTATTATTATCCTTTGGTCTTGGGTTCGATGACAGATGTTAGCAAATTTATGTTTTACTAATGTTAAGCCGTGGTTACTGCTTTCCCCCTTTATTTTTCTACTTAATAGTAAGTCATTTCTTTTTTTCATGGTAAGCCTAAATAATTCCTTCAGTTTACAATTACAACTATTCATTAAAGTCCCTTCCGCTTTTATGGTAAACAATTATTGGATAGTTAAGTATTTCATTTTAGTTATTAATTTACATTTACATCAATTAAGTAATTAATTTTGGTTTATTGAAGCACTTTATTTCAAAATAGAAAATTAAGTCTTTCAATATTAAAAACACTTTGAGATACATGATGAATATTTGCAATTTTTATTTTCCTTTGAGATACATATATAATGAATAATTTTTTTCTAAGTACTAATATTGGTGGAAATTCATTTTGTAGTTATAGAAACCGAATGTGCCACACAATACTTCAATACATTATTTAATTTTTAAAATTTTCGATTTATAGTTTTCAATATGAAAACATTTTGTGTGATTATAAAATAAAATAAGCATTTTAAATTATTTTGATTATTAGTATTTTTTAACGTTTCGGTAACATATTAAAGAAATTCCGGCCCCCCCGAATGTTAAATCCTGGCTCCGCCCCTGAGTGCAAGAACAAATTATGCTAAGTACCTAAAATATGATTTTGTGTATATGAGTAAAGGAAATTCGATATTTGTATTCACGAGAGGATGAGAAATTTGATATTCTTCAAAGAACAAATGGAACAAACATGCACAAACCAAAAATACTTGTCATATTTCAATTGGTATGCACTTCTAATTTTAAAACTGGAGGTATCAGGTTTAAATCCTTTTAGTAGTTTGCGCTAGAAACCAGACAACGTTGGTTTGTATGTTTGCCAAACCTGAACGGAATGTTTACAAGACAACAGAATCTCATCTTATGCTCTCCTTTTTCTTGTCAAACTATCAACATCCCCAAAAGTTCAAAGGAAACCATGTGCCTTGGTGTGTAAAGAGAGTCAATTAGGGCAATTCCCCCCTCAACTACCAGTCTAGTCATTGTCTCCAAAAGCCCAAGCCACAGGAAAAAATAATTATCAGACACACATAAATAAACGATATATGGCTAATTGCTGCCCCCAAATAATTACAACCCCATTCTTACGTTTCCCTTTTCCTCCCCTTTACACAAAGGAACCATCGATACATCATTAATGCAAAAGATAAAGAGGAAAACCAAAAAGGCAAAAACAAACAATAAGAAGAAGAAAAGAGAAAGAACCAATAGAGTTCTATAATTAGAAGAAGACATAATCATGACCCATAAAACAAGAATAACTATTTGTTAACACAAACTGCAAAATGATTATGGAAAGAAAAGAACAAAGACACACATTGCCATATTTCCTTTGTCCATTTTAAAGAGAAAAACGTGAATAAAATTATTATTATTGGTATGATACGATAATTTAGGCTAAGAGCCAGAAGTCTTTGTGGCGCTTAGTGGTGATCAAGTAACCCCCATGTTTGTTGCTCTTCCGCCGGACCGCAATCGCCATGCACTCTGCATTCTGGATGCAATACTCCACCACCCCTCCGCCACCGCTGCCGACGGCGGCCGTGTTGACTTTGTTACTTGCCCACATCATGATCAGCCGCCACGTCATCGACCTCTTCCTCTGCCCCAGAACAAGAAGAGCTGCACCTTGCTTCTTTGCCTCTTCCACGATCGCAGGACCTTTCTCCTTCCCCTCTACAATAGCTGCCTCGATCTCCACCTGTGTTAATTTACCCCCAATCAAGTTCAGAATACAATTTCTCCACATTGCCCCGGAAGGCGGAAGAAAACCCACCTCTGGTCTCTTAGCCTGACACATTTTCTTGAGATTGTTCACCAGTTCATAGCCTCTTGTAGCTTTCCCCTTTGTGAAACCTGTCCCAAAACATTTTACAGTGAATTACTACACCAAGACATCAAAATTGAGACATTTGGAATGGACCCAGGAAATCAATTTGGAACCTTGGTTATTAGATGGCTTGGAAACATGGAGAAGAATCACGTAATCCTGGCTCTGAATGGTATGAGAGAGCGCCCACTGCAGGGCAACCTTAGATTCCCCGCTCGAATCAACCACGATCATTATCTTCCTCCGCCCCGCAGAAGCCCCCTTTGTCGTCTCCGCCGCCGCCACCCCGCCGGAGATCTTCTCATCTTGATCGCTGTTATGGTCGTTAGCTCCCGGAGAAAATTTCCTAGCGGTCACCGGAATGCTCTGTTTCTGGTTGGGATGTAACTGCGGCGAACGGACCCTTACATGCGGCCGAATCCGGTTGAGGCAGAAACTGGGGAGCCTTGTGCTACTGCTCCCTGCCGTCTTTCCACCCATTTGGCTAGTTACTTTCGAATTTCGATTAGGACAAAGTGATGGGCAAGTTATAAAGCGGGAATGAAGATGAAGCAGGCAGAGGAACAGAGCAGAGAGAGGTTGTGATGATGGTGAACCGAATTCAGGGAGGAATAATATTTGGATGGGTTATCACTAATGAGTAAAGTGGGTTTGTATTCCACGTAACCTTTTGTTTTTGTTTTTTTTTTTTAAATTTCTTTGGTATGTTTGAAGGGGTTGATGATTGTCGAACGCTAAAGCAGGGGGGGTTTTCTTGGTTGCCTTTTGATTCTTCTATGGCCATGTGTGGGGCTATTCAACAACGTGCCTCGCATGAAATTGTAGGGTCGTATTACAGTTATGCTTCTCCAATTTATTTTGTGCTATCAACCGAATAAGTGAACTTTAGATTTTTTAAAGTTTATTTATGTTGATTAGGTAATGACATAATAAGTTGACCGTTAGTTATTGATTTTAACTGTCTCACATAACGGTTAACATTTGAATTTGGACAAATAAGTAATTTTTTTTATATAGTTGTGGTCACGATGTTAAATAGTGAAAAGATTGGCCAGAATGTTAAAGATTGGAAAAGTTCGGATCAGGCGAAAATATTAACCCTAAATTTACCTGTATTTCAAAGTTCAGAGAGCTATAGCCTCCTCTATACTTAACGTGACTCTCTCATTGCAAACGTAGAAGAAATGTGAAGTTGTAGGTGTTCGATTGGATCTTCCATGTGTCAATTAATTGGGCTCAATTAGACTAACCCTAAAAAAATTTTGATAGACACGAACAAGGGCTTGGTCTAGTGGAAATACCATTAGCCTAGAACCTGGAGGTCCCAGGTTCGAATCCCTTAAGTAGTACCTTAATAACAACAAAATAAAACCTATATCACCCTTATAAAAAAAATAAAAAAAATTTGATAGACCAAGGCAGCAAAGTTTGAAACTTCTTCTGTTCTCTCTTAGGTTTTCACTTAAAAAAAAAAAAAAACTCATTCAAATAAAAATACGCAATTAGAACATACCCTATGGCGTATACAACCAACGCCAATGAGCTAAGGGGAGACTCGAATCATAACCGCAAAAAAGTGCCACACCAAACCTATATGTATCGTACAGTCGAGTGGATAAGCTCTACAAGCAAATTCCCCAAAATTATCTCAATCAATTTGTATTTTTTCCCATAACAATAAAATTGTACATTCATTTCTGTATTATTCGTTTTGATCCTTTTCTTCTAGTTCTTAAGTTTTACCTGCTACTCCAGAGGTTGACTATCTATAATTATTAATTAACACTAACCACACAAACAAATTAAATGTGCCATAAACATAGCTTTAATGGCAATGATTGACGTTCTTTTTCACTTTTATGGTCCAATCCAACCTTTATTATCAATTTCTCACCATATATTATATACAAGGCTTAATTGCAAGTTTGGTCACTCGAATTACTACAAAATTTCACGTTTGGTCACTAAAATTGGTTTATTCCATTAGTAGTCACTTAAATTGTTTGAACATTCCAAGTTCGGTCACTCTCCGTTAACCTCCGTTAGACTCCATTAATGACGACCGTTAAGAGATGACGTGGCTAACAGAAAATCACAGTCAGCATATTTTAACCCTTAAAAATGACTACCCGACCCGCCACGTAAGATTTGCCCGCCATGTTACCCTTCCCTACCCAACCTACAAACCAAACCAATAATCGACCCAACCCCAAACCCCGACCCCCTGAATCTGAAAAGTAAAATCGACAACCTCTGCTGCTCACTCATCTTCCTCCTCTATTGCAGCGGCGGCAGGAGAGGACCAGAAGACGCAACTACAACTTTTTTCTTCATCTTCTTCTTTACTTTCTTTCCATCCCACTCCGCTGATGACCTTATTACCGCCGGGACAGACACCTGACGGGCAGCCCCAGCAGAGCATCCCAAGCCTCCGAAAACTTTATGCATTTTATCTTGGAAGCTTGGCATTGATGCAAAGGCTCCAATTATTTTAATCTACGAACCACAGGAATAATCTTTTGGTCATGCTGCTTTTGGGAAGGTTTAATCTCATTATTTAAATTATGCCCAAATCGAACATTGATTGAATTAATTAGCTAGGTTAAAAATCATTACAGTGGAGTTGAAAAAGAGTCATATAGATGGGGCATCATGTAGGTTAAAAATCATATAGATGGAGTCGAAAAGAGATTTCATCATTGGCGAAAGCAAAGGTTTAACAACCATCACCACTCACGCATATAATCCAACTTGATGAGTCACTAAGCCTCCACTACGAAATGAAATTCATATGCAATGAAACATTTACAGTAATACTAGGGTAAGTTGCCATGTTAAAACTTAAAACATGCAGTTTTGTCTACAAAATACTATAAGGCAATGTCAATATATGACATTTGCCACGTCAGCCTCGGCTGAAAGCACCGCACAGTACGGAGGGTCCTTAATGTAAATTCCCTCTTCCTCGCATTTTCTCTTCAAGTTCCAATCTCTCAATGGAAATCGCCCACCTCTCTCTCACATACCTAACCCACCATGTTCTGTCTCCCACAGAAATTATATCAAGGACCTCCATCCCTAATGGAAGATCTTCAATGGAAGCCCTCTTCCCTGAAATTAAACATCTCTGACTCACCGTCACACAGTCAAACTACAACAATCGAAGACCTCCCACCCCTAATCTCTCTCTTTCTCGCATTTTGTATCCCAGTCTCCCACCAGAAATCAAACGCCTCTCTCGCCATCCCAACACTATAATTGAAGACCTCTCACTCAATCGAAGACCTCTCAATTTCCCACCGCCGCCCTATCTGTCTTTCTTGGCTCTGAGCCATCGGTGTTTTGTAGCCGAAATCCCTTGAAAACCGCATTCATCTGTTCTTTCGTCGTCTGTGTGTGTCTCTGACCTGCTCCTCTCTGTCGCCCTTGCCGTCCCACTTCGTAGTCTCACTCCAGCGCCGTACTTTACCCTAACCATCCTGGATAATCCGCATCTCTCGCTTTTAATGTTTTTCTCGCTGCATAGAGTCGAGAACCTCGCATAATCGGAGGTAAGTTCCCTTAGTGAATTTTAGTTTTTTGGCTTCTCGGAATCTGTTCATGGGATTTCCGTGCCGATATTCTTCCATTTATTTTTCCTTTTGAAATGGGCGTTCGATCAAATTGTTACTACGCGTCCCTGGTTTTGATTTACAGTTGTTCAGTGCTTTGACGAGATTTAGATCCAATATCTGAATTGGGCTCCGAACCACAGTTCGTCGAAGAATTTATTTCCCCGGACTGATTGGTTAACTTTCTTGCTGGGATTGACCGATTGCAGTAATGCCCTCAAAGCTTTGTCACCGTGATACCTTTTCTAGCTAGAAGAACGTTCAACGTTGTATCTATTTCCAAGTTGAAAGCCCGCCTCACTGTGTGAATCGCCATCTTGCAACTTTAGCTATGAGGAGAAGGAAGTTCCTTTGGTGGTCCGATGCATGCATGGAGTGAATGTTGTTTCAGTCCCAAGTACGTCACTATTCGCCTTTTGCTTATCTTTGGCTGTTGTGAAGTTTCCTTTCATGATTTGCACTTCATTAGTTCTAGCTTCTAAGCATGATATAAGTTTTAAAGTAGTGCAGTTCGTGATGAGCAAAAGCATGAATTGAGATGACATATTACTTATACTGGATTAGTTGTAACTTCAAAGCATGATATACGTAATGAATGAAAAGCAGTTTGTGATCAGCAAATCATGACATGAGATGGCATATTATTTTTATTGAATTGGTTCTACCTTCTGAGCGTGATATATGTAACGAAGCAAAATCAGTTTGTGATGAGCAAAAGCGGTGTAGTTTTAGATTTTAAATAGTTTCTTTTTTCAATTTACTTTTTATGATTTTTTTAATTACATTTCTTCTTTTGTTCTTAGTGTTTTTCTGGGAATTGCTTACAGAAAGATGCTCCAGCTATCATGATTATGTTTTGCATGCTTATTGGTTGTTTGCAAGCTTTTTTGTCACTCAGATTATTTACTCCTTTATTTGGTATCTGTTAGATGGAATTTTTGGTTAAATTGGTTTTTAGAAACTTAAATCCTTTTTCTATAATGGATAATTTATTTGATCTTCTATGTTTGATTTTCCTTCCAGGGCTTCTGGACTTTGATCCTCTTTAGAGAGATGTGGTGGTTGTTGTTATCTGTGATAAAAAATTTCTGCAAGTAGTGGGGTAGTAAGAGTTCTGTAGTCAATAACCCCTTAGCTTCCTCCACTCTCTTCCCTTACAACTCATTCCATTCTTCCATTTATTGTATGAAAGAAAGAGTGATTTGCTTATTTTTCAACTTTCTCTCACTTTATTTGCGGCATATCGACTGTTTCTATTATTATACAGCATATGATATTCGTTGGAAGGCCAGGCTAAGCGTAACCGAGCTACAAGGATGATTTATATTTGTGAAAAACGAATGAAATTTGGAATTCCCAAAGCATTTATCGATGCGGTAACTGATCTGGATTTGATTATGTTTTGTTAGTTTGGATACATGAGAATGCACTTAATACATATATATGTATTACAATTATTCCATAGTATAAGAATTATCGATTGACACTCCTGATTGGTTATGGCAATACCGTGGTGCTGTTTTTTGGAGATGTGAAAGCACGTGGCTAACTAGGGAAGATGTATACCCCAATTCACTTTATGTTGTGAGGGTGGGAAAGTTAAACTTCTTGAGCAACGCACTACATCAGATTTTTTCAAGACGTTGTTAGAGTCCGATTCTATTTTTGTTGGCATTTAAGACAATATATTTGTTAGTATAACAATTTGTTTAGTTTTATTTCTTTGAGTGATAAGGTGGATCATGCTATAAATGATGGTCATTGCGTGTATGTTATGCCAAATTTGCAAACCTTATGGTTAGTATTATGTTGCTCATGTATGGGCTATTTCTCGATGCTTTTGGTTTTTAAAATTTTTGAACATTTAGATTGTAGGTTTATCATTTTCCAAAGACAATAGACTTTGAAGTTGGAAATAGCTTGAATCTGTTTGGTTGATTACATCACCAGTTTACTGTCCATGAGTTTGTCACACCTCC